AGACAAAATCGATCTATCCGCTTGTAATAATAGACATAACAATCTGTGATTAACGAACTGCTCTACCAGTTTTTCACTGTGTTTTTCACTGATCTGGAAGCGAAATAAATATAGACAGTACCGGCTTTTTGTTATTCCTCGCACGTCGTAAAAGGCAACTATTTAAAAGAGAGGGTTTACGTTGTCCTTTCAGTGGGAAACAGATTGGCATTTGTCATTATTGGACAGAAAAATAATGTAAGACTTGATGTACCGAAACATTGGAAAGAGATTCCACATATGCTAATGAATTTAGGATAATTATATTACTAATGAGTTGGACATCTAAAGTTAACAGTGAAAAGTATGTAAACAGTGTGAAAGATACCTGAACTTAGCAAAATTAGTCCACATTGTCAGCATCCGCTTCATGGCAATCTGATCTTCATTATCATACCAGCGTTGGGGCATTGGCAGCACTTGAGGACGCATCATGTAGAATAGTTCGTCAGCGTGAGATGCACCTCTTACCCCAAAGAAATTAGACACCATCTTTGGAACATTCATGTATCCACTGTACTGGAACAAGTAGAAGAATAGAGACTCTTCCGTCGTCCGAGCGTACATTTCCATCTCCACTATTGAAGGAAATTTAAAATGCAGATCTGAATACAAGTCCACTACACTCATTATCAGCTCATCATGTTTAGACGAGAAGTAATAGTTTTGCAGTTTATTTGCCGTCTCATTTTTCTCCACCTTAGTTGGAAAAACTAGATCATTTTTTAAAAAATCCCCAGCGTCCACAACTTTAACACTAGTTCCAAAATCTTTTGCTACAAAAAATATACCTTCTTTGTCATTATATCCTATCATCATTGGCACTTTGGTATAGTTTCCTAAACTGATTATATCTAAAGGAAATCGTGTTATTATTGGCTCCACCCCTTCTATCTCATTCTCTACGCATGGCACGAATAAAATATCCGCTGTTACCCAATTCTTGGTTTCAGAATATTTAATCGCTTGTATTAACTCATTGTACGATATTCTTGAAACTATATCGTAAATTTCATAAGGATCTTTGGTGTTGTATCCAAATTCTTTGACTAGATTACTCGCAGTTCCTATAGGATCATGTTGGATTCCCCAAGGTGCTAAAGAGGAACCGCTCTGTAAGATGGCTTTGTGAAAAAGCCCTCTAGCAGATGGAGAGAGGACTAGGAATGATATCGAGACTGCACCTGCACTTTCACCAAATAGCGTCACATTGTCCGGATCACCACCGAATGCTTTAATATTGTTTTTTATCCATTTAAGTGCGGCTATTTGATCTTTGAGTCCTGCATTACCAGGCGCTTCTTTAATACCTAGACATAGAAATCCCTCCACGTTGAGTCTGTAATTGATACCAACGAATACAACATCATGCTTGGTATAATAGTCCCCACCATAAAAGAAACGAGATCCGGACCCTTCGAAAAAGCATCCACCGTGAATGAACACCATTACTGGTAGAAAGTTTCCGGATTTAGCCAAACTTGCAGTGATAGGTGCATATATGTGGAGCTTCAGACAGTTTGGATGCCCAAGAGGGATATTTGTACCAAAGAATTTTTGAGGACACCACGTGTTTTCTTCGATGGCATCGTACACTCCTTCCCATGTTGGAGGCGGTAAAGGGGCCTGTAAATAAATGCGACAACATTAGGAATCTTTTGATTTAAAGGTAAATATGCCCTTATGAATTCTCTGATTATGAAATAACCCACAAAAGAATTCATAAATCAATTTAAACAATGAATTTTATTAATCAAACTTTCTTTGCACAAATGAAATTTTAGGTATACTTTTTACCTGTAGACATTCTCTACCATCAATAGGAGAGCTATCAAGATATAATAACAATCAAGCAGTGAGCAGAGTTAACAATAGAAAAAGATAAATATTCTATTAATTTTACAAGTGAACAAACATTTTTTCCAATACATTTTATATGCATAAAGTTTTTAATACATGTGTGAATACCAATAATACTAATTCATGTTTTGACTTTGACTTTCCCAGAATCAAGATACCATTTACAACAAACTCTTACCTTGAATCGATTATTTTCATCGACCGTCCCGTACGGTACACCAAAGTACTGGTAGAAGGTCCCACCCGGGTCTAATCGACCCCTCAACAGACCACTGGAGACCCTCACCACAGGGGAAGGTATTTGGACTAGCCCGGCCGCGATGAGCGTCGTCAGGGCCACCCACTTCATCACTGACGCTTAACCAGCCTTCTGACATAAGCAAGTCATTCTTAATCCTTATTTGAAGACTTAACTTAATCTTTAAAATCCATTGCAGATTCTTCTATTTTTAAACACAGCAACACCATTTCTTCGTTTTGTACCATAATTATTGCTCTTCTGGTCTGGTGAATCTGTGAACAAACAAAACAATTATAAATAGCTGTTTCTCGTGACTTGACCAGCGTAAACTATAGCCTATGTTACCAGCATCTGATATAGCTTCCCGTGTAAAATCAGTATTGTTGTTTCAGACCCTATTTAATTCAATCAAATATTTCCTTTTTATAATATTAGTATAGACAAGACAATGGGTGGAAGCTCTTTTTTTCTGTTCTGTGGGTGGAAGTATTAGTGGATTATCCTTTTGGCGAGCTATACTCCATTCATTATAACATTAGAAAAAAGAGGGTCATAGAAGCAGCAGTGCAGAACATTTTATTTTCAAGAAAAATTTAAAAAATATATATTATAGTTTTATTGAAACTTTAAACGTTAGGTAGTCTGAAAGAGCTGGGCAATTTGCCATTTTTTACGATACCTCGGGGTTGAGATGAGGCCAGCATTTTCTTAATTCATCTTTTACTCTCAAGCCAACATAGAACTAAAACTATGAAACTGTTGTTTTGATAATTTCTAATTGTAAGTGTATATGATTAGAATAGAATTTAGTTATATCTGTGCCCAGGAAAGAAAGGTAAACAAAATGAAATTGTTATTATTACTTTTATAACATTTATTCAGACATTAGTTAGGAAAAACTTCCTGAAATGTCCAAGGTTGAGGGTAGGTTTAGAGGCTTAGAGCGTAATTGTTGTTGGCCACTCGGCCCTGCACCATATTTCATCGTCATCGTCCATATTTTACAAAAATTAACTTAAAAACAAAAACAAAATATAACAAAATAAAAATAAAACAATAACAACTTTTTTTTTCTTTTTTTTTCATAATATGGCAGGCACGGTTTGTGCATCAATAACAACTTAATCACGGAAACGGCAAAACAACAAGAAAGGCAGCATTCACAATGGATAACAATCCCAGATTACGTAGTTTGACAATTATGAATACATCATAGTCTGACAGAATTAAAAAAACTGTACTGCCGAAACGATTGAAGGGATTAGGCAACGTTTTAAATTTGGTAGAGTTATTGTCTATAGAATCGTGCCGAAACTATCCAACCCTACTTCTTTAGGTTCTTTAAGATGCACACTTTTTATTGGAATAGTTATTAAATCATTTAAGTTAGTGAAATACTCATAAATTTGTTCAATATGTAGCAAATTATGCGTTAGTCTTAAGAGTAACATGAATATTGTCATTTTGTCACAAAGTATACCATATAAAGAACCTTATTTAACTTATGTCTAATGCTATAATGAATGGAGTATAGATATATGCATAGACCCAACTTAACTCTACAAATGTAAGTAAATATTTTTTTGAACACCCTAGGTAACTTTTTCAGACTCGTACAATATGAACATGAGATACCTCACGTTTGTCGTCAGTGAGTACTGTATCTGATGCTTAATTTCTTACAATTTATTTATTAAAAAATACTGCATTGACAAGAACTAGATTATTGGTTCGTTATATGAAAAAAAACAAATTTTCCGTAGTAGGACCAGAAGCGGGAAGGGTATCGATGAGACCCTTGCCTAGGGGACCATAGATCTGGGTGGAAAGAAATAAATAGAGACATGATATATTTATATATAATATCTTGATGACTTCCGTGACTCGCACGCCAGATTCAAGGTGTCAGATTTCCATAAGTCATGTGTTTTACTACTTAAACAGAATCAATAGTTCGTCTTACAAATACTGATAAATTATATAATATAGACCCCTCATCCAAGAAAGCTCAAATAATGTCCTCAGAGTGCTGTAGTATTTTAACCACCAGATGGCAGCTATTTTTTTTTTTATAATCTAGAGCAATATATAAAAATATAAAATAACTCTTAAGAGTTTGGTAAAGTTGTCTTCTACGATTAACTGGCTAATCAACTTAACTAGCACATCGGTATCTAGATACTAGAGATAATAATATTGAAGTCAATGTCAACTAAAGAAACTAGTAGGTACGTAAATTATATAGCTCACGGTTAATTAGTGTATATCACGCCAGCGGCATAGCAATCGAGAAGTAACGCCACAGTGCAGGTACGCATTAGTGAGTAAAAATATGCCGGACAGACCGACATTTGCCTCAATATCATTATAACTTCAACATTAAGCTGAAGACTGATTCTACATTTTTTGGTATTGTTATTTACTGTATCGTTTTTCTAATAATATCCTCCATACTAAAATATTTAAAGCGGCTTAATTCTAAGCTTCTTAGTATTAGATAATGCCTCCGTAATTTTCGTCTTGAAGATTTTTATTACATGTTCTCTTATAGATTAAATTTGTTATATATACAAATAAACTTCATTATATTATCCTTCTGACACCAATTGTACTGTGACATTTGTGGTACGTGATCATAATTTTAAATTAATTATATTGTTCATAAATTAATTTAAATTTTATGACTTCAACTATAAGATCTCAATTCGTTTGAATAGTTGATTCTAGTTATAATTATTGGTTTCAGTGAGAGCAAAGTGCAGTGATTTGCATTACAATAATATCTTGTCAGTTGTCTTTCATATATATATTTCCAGTACAATACATTTACTGACCGGGCTCCATTATTTGCACCCGCTTTAAATTAAAATAGTTTTAGTGAAAAAAAAGTCCTATTTACTCAATTCTTCCATCGATAGACATCTATTACGAATAATATTACTTAATCTTATATTTTTTTAATCTTCAAAGATAACCAGAACCAACGCTTTGGGTGATAGAGGATAGATGAGATGCAAGTAGAAGGAATTCCTTTTCTTTCTGAGTCCAAGGGAATGAAATAATGACATAAAAACGGCAGACACCGGAATATAACAAACAAAGCAAATGAAAAACCAAACGTTTCGTGAAAATATAGTTCAATGAGCGCCGATACAACCGTCATAATTACCTCTCTGTATCCGTTTCCTTTAGGAAGGATCCGTGTGGTACGCAATCAGTAGCTCTCTGTATCCTGTATTGATCCTGTATTGAGTAACTAGCAGAATATAAAAATATCCGATAAAGTGATAATACCACCTCATTCAAATTTATAATGAAATCTGATATAATAGATTCAGTACACTACACTACAAATATTTTATTTTCACTTTAACGCCACTATGCACCTTCTGGCACCTTTGGTTCGGACTTCCACCTATTTTCAAACTTCAACATACGCTTTGATGGGCAAATTATCAACTTTATAGGTATAGGTTGAGAGTGCTCTTAATCTTTTTTAAGACCTTGAAGAGTATTTTTAAGACTAACAGAAGCTTTGGTATGCAGTTGGAACTAACGAAAATGATATTATAATTTATGTACCTCGAAAAAATCTATTCTACACTATATGATTTTCGATTTCGCAGCATTCCTATATCATATCTAGCTTTCCGCCGGCGGCTTGGCCCGCGTGGTCCTGTTTCTATATATAATATTCCTTTTAAATTATCCTATCTATAAAAAAACTGCATCAAAACATTGTTTAAAATATCTAAGCATACATAAGGACAGACAGAAGACAAGCTACTTTGTTATATACCATCTATTGAAGCCATCAGAGTCCAATTTTGGACCATTAGACCTACTTGCTACTAGCTGATTGGCTCGCACGCCCGTTGTCGGCATCAAGATGTCACCATTGCTGAGGTTGCGTTGTTAGACGTTCGATTCCCGATCGGGTCAATATAGTATATGAACTTTTTCTATATTTTCTCAGGTCTTCGGATGTTGCGATACCTTTATTATTTCAGATACTGCATAATACGAGTTTTAGTTAATTATCTTGGAATCTGAGCATATTATATGTGATATTGTCTGATATTCTTTTAAATGTTTTATTTAGTTCTTTTCATTTGTGGTGGTTTCGAACCTTCTGCATTCAGTTTCGACCTGCGCGTCTTCTATATCATCCGCCATTTTGTGGTCGGCCCAGAATAGGTCACGTGTTACCGCGGAAAGCGACACCATATTTTTTATGAAACTTCCCGAATATTCGATCATTAACGAACATTACCTAATCATACAGTATAAGGTTGTATTCACGTGTTCTTGGTCACGTATACTCAATTAATTTTGTAGTTAACAGTTTTTTTATAGTGCAAAATTATAATTTGTTTACTCAATCTCTGCGAGTTCATACTACAAAGTAACACTTTGATGAGCTCGATAGCGCTGTGGTTATTTATTTATTATTTAATAGCTAAACTCGTAACTACGAATGATCTGCTCTGCTTTACTCCTTTTACTTGTATATTTATTTTACTTAATAAAAATCCCATCACATAGGATATTAAAAAATATAAGCTGGCTGACTGACAACCAATACACATCCCGAACTAGGATTAAGGATTTGGAAAGTAACACAAACATTAATATACTGTTAGGGTAAGACAGTTTTTACCATAATTTGTTGAATCATTTGTAGGTGAATTTCACTTCTAATTCTTTATTTTGTTTTCTTCACAACACACATGACACTTTAAAATTTTTAAGAGAAAGGGAAATGTAACCACAGATTATCTACACTTTCATCATAAAGAAGAAATATTTGTTTTTTTTGCATTAAGGCCCCGAAACTACCGAAACTATTTTAAAATTTTTCTTTCACCTACGGGAAGCTAAAACATAAGCGGGTTTAAAAGTCTATAACAGTAGCCTAACAATTACATATATCACAAAATATTTTTATCACGTATGATATATTTTGCTGTACTCATATCAAAACTAACACTGATATTTTTGTAGCAACTCTAGTTTAGAAGATTTTTCATACTACCCGCATTTCAGGTGACAGTATTCAGTGAGTTTCAAGTAGTGTATTATTATTTTTTTAACAATAATAAACAATGACCTGCAAGAAACATTGTTTAAACTATCCAGACAGTTTTTGTGTTATTTGTTGTTTGCCAAGTATAGTAAATCGATCACAGACTTCGTTTAATCTGCGTACTTTACCTACTTTGGAGTGCAACAACCTACAGAAAGCATGGGTGACAAATACTGTGTGCCAAAACTGTGTTGTCTCTTTGCGACAATAGTTAAAAGGAAAAGACCTGCACTCAAGTTCAAGATACCTATGATCTGGCGGGAACCTCGTAATCATCATGGTGAGTGTTATTTTTATATGACTAACATTACAGGAATACACTCTGGAAACCGGGATAAATGGTCCTACTCGACGTTGTCTACTATCACTCTGAGGTCTATCAATCACTAGTACCATCGACATCATCAACGAGCCTGGTATTATGAAGCAATT